TTCCAGGTTGGAAAGCATTTACCTGCCAAGGGATCTAGAAGACCATGCAGAGAATCTGGCACTTAGACGGAAACTAGAGCAATTAATTGTGTGCAGCCATTGCAGAGTGCCTTTATGTGCTGCCCTGTGTTTTCAAAAGTTTCATACCATAAAATAAAGTTGCTAAAATACAATTTTCCCATGCCTTATCCCACCAGATGCCCCACACAATATTTCTCAAAATCCATCATTCCTAATGAAAATTTTGAAAAACCACCTATTGAGCCAGTGTGTAGTTCGTTAGTGAAAACCGTTATATCTCCAGCATCTTACAGACAGAAACTAACTTGGTCACGAAAGAGCAAATCAATACTTAGTCTTTTGTTAAAATCATTGAATCATTTCAATGGAATATTTTTAGTCCTTATGAGCTGTTCATAGTTCTTTTTTGTTGTTCTTGGTTTTGCACAAAACGGAATTCTCTTCCCTGATCAAGTATTTGGCATTAATGAGCATGTGATATCAAAAATCCAATGTCTTTTTAGAGAAAGAGAGAGCTAGCCTCATACCCTTGAGGAGCAACACTGCCTGCCTCTTTGTAAGCTTGGTTTTGGGTCCTTGATATTTTCTAGCCTGCTCAGCCTGTCTGCTTTTAGTAAAATGAAGTATAAAATCAAATTATAGACCATGTTTAAACACCAGAATGTAACACATTGTAGCCAATTAGCATCTGATATATGGAGGAAGATTAGGTGGCTGTAAGTGGCAATGGCTATCCCAGGTGACTTGCCAACTACTGAAGAAGTTTGGTGTAATCTAAACCCAACAATTACCAAAGGATCTGTTACCACTCTGTAGAAGATTAACTTCGTTTTATGTGATATGATAGCATCCTGTTCATTGCAAAACTGTTCTTTGGCTACCAAGAAATGTTTGAAAAGAAAATGAAAACACTGCAGGAAGAAAAATATTAGGAAGTAGGGAGGCAAAGATAGAAGAAAATATTACAACGTTATTCCCAAAGCCAGGAGACCCATTTCTCAACTCATTCTATTTACTGAGACCCTAAGGAAAGAAACTAGTTCAAAATGGTGAGACTCATCCTTATCTTTCATGCAACAGAGGTTCCTTTTCTGTTCCACTTATTCTTACCTGCCATTGAGTCAGCCCCAGACTCCTGGCAACCTCGGTGTACAAAGGGACCCTACGGCTGTGAAGCAATGGCCAGGGTTCACTTATATGACAGAAGGTAAGAAAAAGAAAGTGGGGAAATAAAGAAGTGAAAGGAGAGGGAGATCAAAGTAGGCAGCACCAGGGAGGAAATAGTTGCCCCACTAGAGGTACTGCAACGATCATTCCTGGTACCACCCAGTGTTCCCCTTGTCCTAAACACATGACTCTCAGAGCGGAAAGCTTAGGTTTTCTAAAATTTACTTTACTTTCTAAGGGAAGATTTAAGGAATAAAGAATCTAAAAACTGTTACGAAAGAAATAAATAATCAGAAACAGCCTAGCCTGCCAGACACATTGTACAATACATTACTTTGAAAAACTAGCAATTTAAAGACATGAAATGGACCATGAAAATAATTAAATGGGCTGGTTTCTAATTTAGAAAGAAGAACTCTACAAGTTATGTAAGGTCCTTCATGTTCCAACTTTTTTTTGTTTTGTTTTTACTACCTTCCAGGACAGTTAAATGAAAATATTTCCTGTTTCCCAGAATCTATTTTCAAGACTCAGACTTAATGTCAATGTTCTTTTACAATGTACTTTCCACCCTTCTCCAGCTATTTCCCAGGAGGCTAAGCTGGATGGCCCAGGTCAACAGGCTCCATGTCTCCTGGATTCTGGTTGGATCTAGCCAATGGTTGCCCCAGCAGGCCATCAGACACTACTTTCCTGGCCCTGGCCCTGGGACACCACCCAGGCTGCCTGCCTGTCTTGATCAAAGCTTCTTGCTCAGGACTTTCTCATTCTGGGTTTCAAACCCTCCCTTTCCTTAGGTTCTTAAGGCCTAGAGATGGCAACAGCTCCAATGTCACTAACCCTGGACTGTTGCATCATCCCTTATAGTTCAGTCTTCTCTTTTCCTCTCCTGGATTCTCCACATGCATATGCATAAGGCCTTGGGCCTCTGGTGGGGTGGATCCAGTAGGCCCTGGCCTCCTATCAGCTGTATTGTTATACCAAGCATGACATCTACTTCAGGCAACTCCAAAAGTTGCTTTTCTCCCCTCAGCTGAAGCATTTTATCTCTTACATTTCTTTTATCCTTTACAAGTAACAAAAACCAAAATAACCATCTAAAAATAAAAATTTCATTCCCCATGCCCCTTCATTCCGTCTCTTAAAAAACCTCATGCTTCCATGAGCCATTGCAATGAATCCCACTTCTGATATCAATTGTAAAAACATATGGAGGATATGTCTGACTTCCTTTGGCTTCACACGAGGTCAGGAAAATCAAACTCAAAATCAGCCATTTGCCCAGGACACATCAAGGCATGTGGTCAGGTTCCCTCAGGGCAAACTCCCTTCTAAGACTAAGACTCAATGGAAATACATGAGCAGGCATGTGCTCTGACTGGTGACCACATTCACCACCAATAAGGGGAAGTGAGGGAAAAACAGCAACGAAGCTGTGAGCTAAGTCTGACCTCGTTCAATAGACTCCTGTGAACC